AACGGTGTTTTATGAAATTCAAAAAGGGGTAGGTTTAGGTGTAGGGCGATAGAAAATACAGTTTGTACAGTATAAAAACCATTACACCTATGTTAACTGTTCCACAGTATAAATTTGTTTATATAAGAAAACACATGCCAATATATTTTAGAAAAAATACTGCTAATATATAATCCTTTTATTGTGCCAATTATTTGCTTTTTGTAGCTTAATACATACACAATTCTGTTTAAAGGTTTAAGGTTGACAAGATTGTGTAAATGTTTTTGAAAGAAGCCTCTCCTGCTCACCAAAGCTGCATTTATTTGATCAAAAATACAGTAAAAATCGTGTGTGGTCAGAGCAGTTTTTCTGATAACCACTTGCAGTTTTCAGAAACACACCGGAAAGTGGGCAATAACAACAATGAACCTCTCCTTCCACCCATGACCTCACAAAACAATCTGTAGAGCCTTTTTTCAAGTAAAGTAACTACACCTGATCTAGATGTGTGCAGCCGTTCACAGATCAATACCGTCTGCATTTAGAACAGACTCACCAGCATCATTGTGAACGCAGCCTTTTCCGTTCTTAACATCAACGATCCAGATGGCCTCCTTTCCTCCCGTCCCGTCCTTCACCTTGAAGGCGAACACACCTCCGATCTTCTTCACAAACTGCTCTCCGTCCTGCACACACACACACACACACACAAACGTCACAGAAAATATCAGTTGAACACCCACCGTGAACTGTGTGAACCGCAGCTAAACTTAAATGATGGTGAAAAGATAACTTTTGTTCTCCTTAAACAGAAATAAATGTGTAAATCTCATTGTCAAAAAGTGACCCAACTGACCTGAATTCACCCTATTATATATCTATATACACTTATATTATAAATATACACAAAAATAACAAAAATATGGGAAAGCTAAATCAGAAAAGGTTGCAAGCTGGATTTAAACGTGCAATAACAACTAAAGTGATCTTTGTTTAAACCTCTCAAATTTGGTTAAATTAGAATGAGACTTGATTTTATGCTACCAAATACCTGCAGTGCATTCAAACAACATTTCCATCCTATTTGTTACACTTGCTCGCTTTTTATTCAATAAACAGCTGCAAAACAGCATTGAAATGCAGCGCTATTAACAAAGCGCCTCACTCAGCCGTCCAGCATTAAACATTACATTTCCCCGTAAAATGACACACTGCATTTCAGAGCGTAATGGAGCAAAACTGATCTGAAAGTGCATCGGTGTTTCCCAGAGTCCTTCTGGTTGTGTAACAGGCCATTATTTGAGATATGTTTTGGGCAGAATTTGAAATGTGGCTGATGGTGGGAGATTATCAGAGTCTCGGCTGTGTGGGAGTTAAACATGACGAATCTCAAGAGGGTGCGAGTGTCACGGCTGAACAATAACAAACATGCATCATTTAGCCTCATCATCGAACGTAACCAAGACTGAACTCAAATATATGGCCAGGAGGCACGGATGAATAAATGAGGGCTTTTAAGGGTTAGTTCATGCAAACAGTATCATGTCATTCCAAACCCGTCTGAAAAGACGTAACACAAAAGAAGACATCTTGCAAAGATATTAATGGAGCTGACGCTTTCCAATCAATGCAAGTGGATGGCCATTTTACTATCAAGCTCCAGAAAACACCAAAAAAAAAAAATACATAAAAGTAGACAAAATTACACATATTCCAAGTCTTCTGAAGTCATACACAAACATTTAGGAGAATTTTATTTTTTATTTTTTTTACAGAATGCATTTATGGCTGCTAAAGTTCACTTACTAAATCACTTAAATATTTTAAAGATAATCTTTTTTCACATTCACCAAATATGACAATATTATCATGTTTTCTAAATACTGATCAGAAATCATGAGAATAATTGCAAATATTTTATTCTCTTTTATTCTAGCATGATTTTTAAAGGGAAAAAAATACACACAGTTTAATGAGAAATATTCTATATATAAAACTATTAAATATAAATTACTAAAAATAAGTTATATTAAATATAAAATTAACTTGCTGCTCAAGAAACATTTCTGATTATTATCAATGTCGACAACAGTTATGCTGCTTCATATTTTTGCATTCAAAAGAACTTTCTCAGACATTCTGCAAAAATGTTCCCTTTTATGTTGCAAGGAAGAAATTAAACCATATGAGTTTGGTACAATACAAGGTGAATAACTATTCTGTAAACCCGGATGACAAGGCTAAGCGGGTAAAGACTCATGGCTCGATTTATAATATTACCAAGGTTATGAAAGAGCAGTTTGGGGAAGGGGATGGACACACATGTCAACAAACACCTTAAAAGAGTAAGTGATGCACATGAAATGGCATGAAAAGGATCATCTGGATAAGACAAAGGGATTGTGTTTAATGAAAAAACGATCCTTTCAGCACCCAGTAACTTTGTAGTCTGAATAAAACCCTTTCACACCAGCCAGCAGGGAAAAGCAGGCCTGAAACCTGACAGAGGATCATTGCAGACATGATTAAAGCTGGGTAATAACACAGATTCACATTGATCTTGCTGTAGCCTTGAGCAGGGATGTGGAGGTGTTAAGAGGCTTTAACACTGCAGCTCATGAACTCAGATGAATGAACTGATCTGAATAGGGCTTCTCATACCTCATGCAGCTTTTTACTGATCTCCTGGAAGACGGCGTGAGCTTTGAAGCCCTCTAGACCCGAGGATGAGCTGGTCAACACCGTCTGGATCCGTGGAGAGCTGGGAATTAAAGATATATACAAGAAAGACATACATATAAAATATGGTTTAAGGAATACTTCACCTAATAGTTATTCTGTGTGTTCCATGGAAGAAAGTAAGTGCAGGTTTGACACCAACAGTGTGAGTTAATAATTTTTGGGAGAACTCTCCCTTTAAGTAGATTTGCACAATGCTGAAAAAAATGAAAATACTGCGGAATCCAGTCATATAAATGGAACTTACCGTTTACGTTTTTGGATGAATAACTCAAAAGAAGTGCTGTACAATTAATTAAATCACGAAACAAGGACATGAACACATGAACTTCATCTCAAGAGCTGCTCTGAGAGTCACTTCATGAGCATTTTACCATTACATTTGAGAAAAACTATTGTCATATAAACACACAGAAACCTTGCGGCAACCCTTCAAAATAAACGTTCGGTTTAACTTGAAGAAATTGTGACAAAAATACTATTGCACAGCAAAATGTTCTTCTTATAACAACAACAATAACAATAACAATTCAATTATTATTATTAATTATTAAAACATTATTTTTAAAGGGGTTATATGATGTTGCTAAAAAGAACATTATTTTGTGTATTTGGTGTAATGAAATGTGTTTATGGGTTAAGGTTCAAAAAACATTATTTTCCACATACTGTACATTATTGGCTCTTCAACAAGCTACACAAAGGTTTTTATTTTATTTTATTTTATTTTTTTTGGATATCAAGAACAATTGCACGACCTTGGATATTTTCTCATGGGTAAAAGAAATAAATTTATAATATTAAAATAGCACTTGCTTAGCTGAAAAAAAAAAATACTACTATTACTACTACTACCACTACTACTACTACTAATAATAATAATAATAATATATTACAGACGACATATATATTATTTTTTTACATAATATTTATTTTTATTTTATATCTATCTATCTAGATAGATAGATAGATAGATAGATAGATAGATAGATAGATAGATATTAGTGTTACCGTATGGTAATACCATAGTATATATTTTATATATTAAAAAAAAAATACTCAAATATAATTTGCACAATTACAGTGTATTTTGGATGCAACAAATCGAACTTCCTTTAGCAACTTCCCCTGAAAATTAGTTGGCTACACTGCTCTAGATGTGGCACTCCCAGAACAATAATAAGACGAATGGACAGAGTGTCAACTCCTTTAACCCTGACTCCTGCCTACTGAGTAGACCTGAGGAGCCTCACAGATCCTTCAAAGACAGAAAGATAGCAGGCCTATATTAGCATACTACTCTCCTAATATTTATGCAATATTCAGCCGTACAGAGAATTCTTTATCGAATATTGCTAAGTTGTTGTTTTTTATTTACATTATTAATACTATTTATATAATTATAAAATTATTATATAATTAATGTATTATATTATATTAGCTATAATACACTATTATTATTATTTTTTTCCTTTTTGGCACTGTTCACAAAAAAGAGAACAATTAGCACCGCATTTGAGAAATATAAAAAAGCTAGAAAGAAAATAAATAAATAAAAACAGCACCTCAAGCGGAGAGAAGAACAAGATCGTAAAACTTTAGATAATAGAAACGTGTTATTCTTGTTATGGAATTTCAGTAAATCTGAGCAAAGTAGGCTATTACGACATTTGTTCCTATGAAATAACAGTTTACAATGCAAAACAAAGAAATTAAGAGCACGTTCAACTGCATGATTAGCCTGAAACGTAAATAGAAATACAATTGCTAATGTTTTAACGCCAATTTATAAAAATAATTTATAATAAATGTACTCAGAATGTATAAAAGGACACTGATAAAGAGATCGTATAATGTTTATTCTGGATTATAGACGTTATGCCTTCACATTATGGTCCTCGCGAAAACAGAATATCCTATGCTGTTACTACTTAAACCAAGGCTTCTCACTTTCAAATGATTGTTATTTTACACCTGATCCATTCATGTCTGTGCTACAATTTCATGAATCTTGGGTGTAGGGTTGATTTTGACATTGGTGGGGACATAACAGCAGACAACAGCCAACTACCCCAACATTTTCACATTTATGATAGACTTTTGACCACAGTTTCATGTCATCTAATGTCTTCATTTATAGCTATGGTAGCTAACATACTCATAATTCATAAAGAGAGCTTTTTTTAGCTAGCATATACATCCATCAGACAATAATTACACAATTTTGATTATGTAATTGGATTATTTAACTACTCAAAAGAGAACATAACAAAATATAGGCTAACTTTCATTTCCTAAATTTCACATACATAAACAAAAATCTGCCTCTAAACCTCTTTTCTTTATTCAAAGTTGATCTAAGCGTAGCCTATGGAAACTATCCAAAGATCTGTTCATCCTTAAGCAGTTAAAACTGTATCTCTATATTCATCCTATGTGTCCTCTTAAGGTGAAAATGTATTATTTATTTAAATTTTTTATTTGTGATCAATTTTAATTCAACATATTTTTAATAGTTTGACCACTGAAATTATTATGATGTATTAAATATGTATGTATGTATAGTGGTAACATAACCTATACATATATTTAATTGTTTGATCAAAATTATTGCTAGGGACAATTTAGTAGTCGCTGGATATTGGTAGGGACATGTACCTAGCGTCCCTACTAATTCTACGCCCTAAGAATATGAAAAACATTATGTAAACAAACCGGAACTGTTTTTCACTATATTATCGACGTAAAACTTGTTGTGTCTGTTTTGCACTCTTGATATTTTAGAGCGTCACCCCTTCATTGCTGTGCACTTTTTTTCTGCATCGTGAATGATTTGTAGTAGATTGTAGCTACACACAAAAAAAATCTCTGTATTTTTGTGTATTTCCGATTCATTTCCAATGGCGGTCATTTTTGACCGCTAACAACACATGTGTGACTATTGTTTTACGATCATTTAGCTTTTTCTAATCAAGTCCAGGAATTTTTTTAATTTTTTTAATTTTTTTTGTGAAAAAAAAAAAATTTTTTTTTATAAAAGTAATCAAGTACCATTCCGATGAAGTAGTGATTTTTATTTCTAAATAAAATAAATTTCTGCCTAAAATGACTGAACAACACCAGATGGCTAGGGGTCATATGATGCTGCTAAAAAGAACATTATTTTGTGTATTTGGTGTAATGAAATGTGTTTATGTGGTTTAAGGTTAAAAAAACACATTATTTTCCACATACTGTGCATTATTGTTTCTCCTCTATGCCCCGCCTTTCTGAAAGCGTCGATTTTTACAAAGCTCATCGGTCTGAAAAGCGAGGTGTGCTCTGATTGGCCAGCTATCCAGTGCGTTGTGATTGGCCGAATACCTCAAGCGTGTGACGGAAACGTTACGCCCTCACCATACTGTTGATGTCGTGTTCGGCCGGAGCGTCGAGACAAAAACATGAAAACCCATTATAAACGAGGCATTTGTTGCATCCAGTGGGGACATAATTACTGATTATAATGACTTATACTGTCTTTTTA